GTATAATAACCGATAATCTTGAAAAGATAAATGATGGAGAAAGAAAAAGAGTTGGAAAGTCCGCTAAGCAAATACAAATAGAAATCATCTTTAATAGAAGTTCTCGACAGCTGATATCTTCAGAGAAAACTGCCAACTGAGCGAAAGATGGAAATGAGAAGAATTACCCGATAATAACCATAGATCGTGCTGGCCAACTATGATGTGAGAAAGGTGACGAAAGGAGCTGAAGAAAGGGGGATGCGTCGTTATTGTTCTCGTTGTTCTTGTGCCATTTCCAATTGGCAGTTTAAATCAACAACTAAAGTGACAGCATATCAAAAGATATGCCCGCCGCGGGCGGGTGGCAGTTGCTGCCACGCCCACTCTGGCATAAGCACCCAACTGGAGTCAACTTTTATTGCCATGGCATCCTTTCATCAGCATTATTAACTTGAACATTACCATTTGTGTTATCATAGCTTTGTTGCTGCTGACCCAAATGCCTTGCAGGCCAAAAATCTCGGCTTATACGCCCCTTTTCTTCTTCTTCTCCGTCAGCTGCTCTTGCATATCAATTTGGCATTGTTGGTACTGTTTTTTTTTTTTTGGTTTTGCACGCTTCGATTGCAGCTTCGTCGGTCACTAAGATGAAAGAAACAAAAACAAAGTGCGATAAAAAAAAGAAGCAAAACAAAAAACGTTGAATGAATTGCCCCAAATAAGTGTACAATTTTTGTTGTTGTTGTTGGTACATTTGAGCTGCTGCTGCTGTAGCATCATCAAACATTATAATCAACATTAACATCGTCATCATCAGCTCTTAAAAATCATTATGATGATCATGCTAATGCGCTGATCACTCGCCTGGAAACGATAGCCCAAACTCAGGCTCAAACCCAAGCCGACCGCGGCGGTAGTTGAGGTGGCAACGCCAACGCCAGCGCTAACACCAACGGCAACGGCAACTGCAGCCAGTGTTGCCAACTTTTGACGGCCATCAGCAGATCAGCTAGATTTGATAGATTTTAGAAAAACAGCAATTTGATGAAATTTGTTTAAGATTGTATTTTGTAAAACAAAAAAAGTTTTTTCCATGGCATCCATAAAATATAGAAAACCGACACTTAAATATGTAAGCTTGTAATTAAAAGACAGCTATTTTTATCAATAGTTTTATCAATATAATTTTTTAGATTGAGAGACTAGTTTGAATCGAAACTGGGAACATAAGTTTAGTTGCTTGGTGGAATATGGTTTTACTTGAATATTTATATGTACATGTTTGGGTTCAGAGATGTGTCCCCTAAAGCATTACACACTGCAGATAAAAAAAAAATGTAATTCTATCTGCAAGAAGGGTGTAAAAGCTGAACTGAATTTCAAAAGGCTATGCTTCGTTTACCATAATTTGTTACCTAGATTAATGCTGCTTTAGAAGTAAAACTATTTGGTCTAAAAATATATATAAAAAAAATAAATTACATTCGCACGAATGTTAATTTTGCACTTAAAATAACAAAGCACAAACATGATTTGAAACGGCTAGATTTGACGGGGAAAAAACGAAATTGTTAACACTGCCAGTTCTGTTATATGCCCGAAGTGGAGCACGCAATGAGAGTATAGAAGTGCTAGCGCGTGAGACCGGGAGAGAGAGGGAGAGAGGGAGAGAGAGCGCTGAGAGCGAATGGTAGAGCAAGCGCGTGCATTCAAGTCACGGTCACGTTTTTCGTCACGTTCTGTTTTTGTGTTATGTACAATTCTTCAATTCTTGTTGGGTGCTCTTGCTGCCATTGTTGTTGCTAATTTGCTCTTGTGCTTTTGCTGTTTCGTACTTTCGTACTTGGCGTCGGCTGATGTTCGTGTTGCGGCTGCTGCTGCTGCTGCTGCCGATCTTTCAGCACATACTGCATGCACACAAATGGGTCTGGCGCTTAGCTGTTGTTGTTGTTGTTGCTGGTGACCCCGGCAACATGCAAATGAGTTCAGCTTAGGCTAGCGACTTGGTTTTGGACTTGCGTTCGCCCAATTGCCGTTATGGCAAGCACATGCAGAGAAATAAAAAAAGAGAGGAAAGGAAAAAAACAGAAAAGCGAAAAAGAAGTTGCGGTAAATTTGTAAAATGAAGTGAAGAGGGTAGACATCAGCACTAATAACAACAGCTGTCAAGTTGGCATCTGCTGCCAATGCACTTTGCAGGTAATCTCTCCCTCTCGCTCTCTCTCTCTATCTGCTGTATGCTGCTGCAGTTGTTGTCACATGTTGCAAACGAGTAGGAACTTGTTGCTGGCAAATTTCAATACTTCCGTTTTTTTAAGTATTTTGGGATCTTGTCTTTTTAGCCAGTGAAAACGACAGTTTTAGCGGGTTTTACGTTTTGTTGTTGTTCATGTGTGTTCATGTTTTTGTCTATGTGTGTGTGTAAAATGCACAATTAAGTGAAAATCAGCGTCGAATTTTGCAAAAAATTCGAAGAGCGTCAAGCATAAAAAAAAACACAAAATAAAAATGTAGGAAAAAAAATGTAGGCAAATTGCATTTTTTTTTTTTTTTTGAGTTTGGAGACTTGTCTGCCAGCTGCTTAGTGGCTCTAAATGCTCGGCAAACCGACATCCGACAACCGTCAACCGACAACCGACAACGACGACATTTTGCTGCCACTTTCTAATGCGATAGAGCAACAACAAGCAACAACAACAATTGCAACAACATCAGCAGCTATGCGGAAGCATAGTCAACAGTCAACAGTTGACGCACCCACATAACAGACACCCCCAGATACCCCCAGACACCCAAAGAGTTAAACACCGAGAGCTGAGCTACAACCCCTCACCTTCCCCTCACCTTGTGCAAGGCACTGACCCGAAAATGTTGACGACTAAATCTTGCAGTCTAACAACCCAGTTTCCTCATTCCCTTCCCCATCCCCTTCCCCTTCCCCAGCCATCTATATCTTTTATTCTTTCTTCGCACATTTTTTGTGAGCCACATTTGTCGTCAACTGCGTTTAAGCCAGCTAATTGCATTTAATCAGCTGCACAAAATGCCGGATGAATTGCTTCTGCTCAAAGAAATGAGTTAATAGCAAGAGAAAGATCTTAGCTGCTGATGTCTGCACTTGTGGCTAATTGACATGTCATTTGGCCTACAATTATTATTAGCTGTTAGCTTGAAGTTTGCCACATGATATCAAACAAGAGACTGCCATCCAGCGGCAGTGTTGCAAAACACCATAAAAAGTGCTCTTCTGTCAAAGTTGACAACAACGTGAAAGCCTTTTGAAGTAGAGCGCTGAAGTCGCCAAGTCAACTAAACAAACTTTAATATGTTTCTTAGAGAGAAATACGTAAGTAATTGAAATGTAATTGAACTTCGTGTTCAGTAATTAACCAGTGACGTTTTGTTCTCAGTGCAATTAAAGGCACTTAAGACTTAACGGTTCATCGATTTGATTACGATTTAAGCATTCCCCTTTTAATTACTTTGCTATCGACTCTGTACAATGCTAACTGTGTGGGAAAAAGTGTTCTAGTGTTTCTAAAATTAGATCTAGCTTATTGTGCTTATTGCAGTTACAGTTGTTAATATTATATATTATTATATTTTACATAAGTAAAAGTTGATGTCTAAATTGTTTAAATTGCAAATGGGTGACTTGTAAATATATCTATGGTTGTCTCGCTCCCACAATTGTTGTATGTGTGTGTTTTTGCTAAGGTTTCTTTTTGCTGTGCTCCTTAATAAAGTGTAAATAATTAAATTGCAAAACCTTTTTGACCCCCACCACTCTCTTGCATATTGTATTACACAGCCCACTCAACCGCATCCGCTTCAAAAAAAAAAAAAAGAAGAAAAGAAAAGAAAAAAGCAAACTCCCATTCTCATTTTCATTGATAGTTTTTCTCATATTTTTCTACCCGTTGGAGGCATGGCGATGTCATAACTTTGAGGTCGTCTTTGCAACGCCTGCCATCATCCATAATATGCTTTGTGACAGCAGAAAACAACAGCAACAACAGCAAAATTAACATGTTGTTTAATATGGATTGTTGTTGATATTATTTTTACTTTCAAACACTTTTACTCTCGATTGTTTTTCAAAAATATGTTTAGCATTTTTACGAGCTGTTTAACAATGCCGCCACAACAAATGCTGCAGTGCCCCCTTCCGGCCCGCTCTTAATTTTTTACCCACTCCCTAAAATTTTTTTTCTTGTTTTGTTGTTTTTGAAATGCGGTCTAAGCCCTTTGTTTTGGTATTCAATAAACATACATTTGTTTTTTTCGTTTTTCGTTTTTCGTTTTTGGTTTGAATGTCACGCAACTTTTGCGATCGCACGCATCAAAAGCCGCTTAACGTGGATCCCCTTACGTTTTGTTGCATTACGTTGCTTTACATTGCGTTCCGGAAGGTTCGGTTGCCACCACTTAGTTCAACTACCTCCCCTCCCTGTGTCTTTCTTACAGACTTCAAGTCGCTTTGTGTGTGGCTTTTGTCGTTGGTATTTTGTTGACCCATCATCGTTATCCGCTTTTGTTCAATTGTGCAAACTTCAATTAACCCCTTATCCAGCCAGCAGCAGCTCTCTCTCTCCCTCTCCCTCCCTTGCACCCTTTCAAGATATGCGGGTTGAATGCAGCTGCTGCATCTGAGGTCCATCACATTTGCAAGTGTCAGCAGGCTTCAGCCCAAGCAAGCTAACTAGCGAAAGCTAATTATAGTAGTAACTACCTATGAAAAAAAGAAAAATAAGACAAGAAAAGACAAGTCAAAGCATTTTAGGCTGACCAATTGCTCATACTCAAAAAGCCGACCCTCAATGGGCTGTTGCCCTTGCGTAACCTTTGCTGTAGGTAAACTGTCCAAGTTGGAACCAGCAGCTGTGTTTCTGCTTTCTTTGCTTTGCTTCCACATAGTCGAATACAATCGCATCGATTGGTAATCGGATCACTTCCTGCTTTCCGCCCAGCAGCAGATCGAATTACTAAAGCTCTCCACCTCTGCCACTGTTTTACAGAAAATGGATCCATTGATGCGCATACAGGAGGAGATCAAGGAGGTGCAGCGCCGCGAGGAGGAATACCGTCGGCTGGCAAATGCCGCAGCACTGGCTGCGGGTTCCCCGACAAAGACGGAGGAAGCCGAATGGCAGCTAAACGGGCATACTGAGGGTGACAAGGAGCAACAGCTGGAGGCAGAGCAGGAGCGACAACACGATCAGGATCAAGAGCAGGATCAGGACCATGACCAGGAACGGGATCAGGGCGTTCTCGTAACTGCACAACCGGCAGCTGTTACCAGTGCTCTCCTTCTGCCCATCGAGGAGCAATCGCCATCGAATACTCCTTCGCTGGCTTCCAGTGTGAACAGTAATAGCCACAAGGAGGAGAGTCTCGATGAGCAGCACTCGGATGACTCGGGGATTTCCGCATCCTCACAGAAAATCAACAACATCAACAACAACAACAGCAGCATTAACAGCAAAGTTGATAGCAAAGGCACCTTGAAGTTGACGCTGGTGGGCAGACAGGAGTCTCGTTATATAGGACCAAATTGTTATAATCTGACACCAGAGCCACCACAGCAGAAGCTAATGACAAACCGCACTCCCGGCACTCCACAGCAGCAACAGCAGAAGCGTCAGTTTGCATTTAATGGCTCCACCAAGGGGGTAATGCAACGCTTCATTGCCTCCCATGGCAAGCTACAGTTGGGCAACGGTACCCCTAACGGGATGTCGCCGGCAGCGTCTCCATTACTTTTAGCAACGCCGAATAGTCCCACTCTAAAGTTAAACTCTCGCAACGCACTGGCCTTTTTGGAAACGGGCAACACCTCGCCTCAAGCTAACAACATCAACAACAATATTAGTAATGGCACCTTGTCACAGGGTGCCATCGAACGGGACTCGGAGGGTCGGCCGCTGAGACGTGGCTATGTGCCCGTCGAGCAGAAGATTCAGCGCGAACTGCAGGACCTCAAGTCACGTGAATCGGAGCTGAAGCGTCTGCGCAAGCTCAACCGTCAGTATATGCTCGAAAAGTTGTAAGTTAAAGTTCTGTCTTTAAGAAAACACTCCCCTAAAACCAAACTCTCCATTTGCAGGCAACTGAGCACGGACGATGAGGCCGATGCTGATGACGATGATGACGATTCCGAGGTGGAACACTGCTATGGACCTGGTAAATTGCGCAATGCACAATCCACACTTGAGCTGGAGCGGGAGAGGTGAGAGACATTCGTTACTCAGAAAATCATAAATGTGACCGAACCCTTTTCGTTTTTTCTCTCTTCCTCAACAGCAATGACATGGAGCTGATGGGTTACAAGGCGTCCGGTAATCGCAGCTTGAATGCTGCCGCTGTCCTGTCAAATGGTAGTGGCAATGCCCTGTCTACAACTGGTTCCAATTCTGGCATGCGTCCGGCAATGTCGCTAGCACAGCTTTGTGATCTGACGCCGGAGGAGGCGCCATCGTCGCATCGCCTCATCGCGCAGTGGGAGAGCCTGATCAAGAAGAATGCGGAGGGTACTATTGAGGCGGCCATTTAAAGCCGGCGGCGACCAAAGCACACCAAATTGTTATTGTAATGTCCCAAGCACTAAACAGAAAACTAAAACAAGCCCCATCCCCCTACAGAAAATGCCCCAAATAGCACATAAATGTTTTTTTTTTGTAAAATATATAGTAGTGGATCTGGAATGATCCATTCATATACAATCAACGAATTATTGAAAAAAAGGCATGTACTTAAAGACAATTATTTCTACAATTTACGCAAATGAGTATGTAAAAATTCTAGAAATCTGTTGTACATAATTCTTCGTATTTCAAGTGCAAGTATTGGCTCCGCCTTGTCAATATAATTTATTTAATATAACCTTACGAACATACACGTATATGTATACACAATACGGATGTATACAAATAATACTATACATACTTATGTACTTACGATATGCGATACCAATATGCGAAAAACGATTTAATAAAACATTAATGTAAACCTTTAAGCATCTGTTTCTTTTATCTATATTTAGTACACATGTATATAGGATGAACATTTATTTTCAGAACTGGAAAACACCAAAGAGTAGCTGTGAAAATAATGTCGATTTTATAAAGTAGCAGGGACACCGACCAGGTTGTTGTATTGGCTAAATTGCAAGCGATCAAACAGTTGGGGCATACTTCCAGGGGCATATAATCGACGAGAAATTTAGCCTAACTCTGCCAAATTCCAATAGCTTTTCGAAGAATAGAGTCGCAAGGAGCTATCAAATTGCATTCAATGATTACGTGGTAATCTAAGGACATTGTTACGTATGTAAATAATAAACCGTTTTATTTTTCATGTTTTTTTTTATTTTTATTAAATACATTTCGTTCATTTTTGTTGTTGTTTTTCATTAAATTTGTATGCATTTGTTGCTGTTCATTGTTTTCATCTCTCATTATTTTATATATTATATAATTGTTTTCTTTTGTTTTGTTGTTATGGTGTTGTACGGTTTATTAAGAGTTACTACATACATATGTGCATATATATGTTATATATTTATAGACATATGTATGTATGTATGCAAGTAATAAAATGCCTCGGAGAGAGTTGCAATAGAATCAAGGATTAAGCAGAAGTTCAAGTTCTACATACTAGTTACATATTAGTAGTAGTTAAGTAAATATCCCGATTCTGCAGAAATCACACACGACGATGCTGTGTTCACACTACCTGTAACTGTGTGCGTGTGTGTGTGTGTTTGTCTGTATGTATATACACTCAAAATTCTTACAGCTCTGCTCCTAGATGCACATATTACTGCTTTATTGCTGGAAGCCTCAAAAAATTGCTGCTATACTTAAGATTTGCTGACTGCTATTAAGGGTTTTCTTTCGTGTCTCATCTATTTACTGATATTTTATGTGAAATGGAAATCTTATGCTTAGAATTGTATTGCAGATAAAATCATATTGGATCGTATAATTTGTATAATTTTGCTTTTATTTTCTTTTTGTAATTAAGTATAAGTATAAGTATATATATTTACAAACGCCGTTTACAACATGCAGCTGGACCAAGCTAAGCTGTGTTCACACTAAGATTCGGGTATGAACATCGCATAACTCGATATCAACATATATATATATATATATATATATATATATATGTATATACATATATATGTATGTATGTATGCACTCGATGTGTTCCCGCTTTCTCTCTATATATATATCTTTTAACTCTAGACAGTGTTGCATAACTAAAAGCTAAATGGGGGAAACAGAACACTTGAAAGAAAGCAGTAAAGTAAAAAGGTCTGCTTATTGCACAGCGTTGCCAGACTTAAAACATATTTATATAAATATTAGAAATTATTCAACAAATAACATAAAGTACTAGATAATAATAATAATAATTACAATAATAATAATAATAATAATAATAATAATACTTATATACTTTGGCACACATAAAACATAATTGCATTTACAAATCATAGATGCTAAATGATAACATATACATATATGTGTATATGTAAAGTCGTATATTGCACATAGATAATGCTGTCAGATCTCACCTTCAACTGAACAAAATACTTGCTTTTATCTTGTTTTCTATTCTTGTTGTTTTTCTTCTTTTCTTTTTTTGCTCTGGAACCAAAAAACCATTGACTGCTTAATATTGTGTATAATGTATAATGTATATAATATATATATATATATATATATATGTATATATATATAGTAAGAATATATATAATTTTTTTTAGTTAGCCCGTACTTATCGTTCGCATTCTACACATTAGAAGCTAACACTTAAAACCGACATTTTTTCATATGCGTTGCTATATCCTTGCCATATGATATCGACATTGATATCGATATCGATATCGACATCGACATCGGATCGAAATCCACTCATATCTATTAAAAAAGCGCTTTGAGCGTTCTACTTTCTGCATGCCTGGCCTTAAACTAGGAAAAAAAAAGACGTTCACCACATACTATGTAAGATATATCTAGTTATCGATAACTCTGATCGATATATATATATAATAAATATATATATATATATATAAGTTTGAAACATAAAAATTAAATAACAAATTTTTTTTTATAGAGTTTGCTGCCCCGATAAAAAAAAAACAGACTATATATAGCGCAAATGTAAACATATGTTTCCCATTTATCGTGCAGTATGAACGGGGCTTAAGGAGTATGTGATCTGTTTGTTTTTGTGTCTTTGCTACGTAGTATTCTTAGACTTTGTAAGTATTTAATATACGCGTGATATCGTTAGATACGAATAGAGAAGTGTGTGTCTGTGTGTGTTCCAGTTGCATTTCGTTTTCGTTTTCTTTTTAGTTTTGTTTGGTTTTGTGTTAAATCGTGAATTACGTGTCGTGTAAACATGTTTACAAAAAAAAAGTACTTGTAAACTTCGTGTATGTTGTGAACAACTACGCCTAGCAACTGTGTCAAGTGCTCATTCTATCTAGAATAGAGTGAAGATCTAGAGAGTTATGGTATGTATATAGTGTATAAATATTCCATTTGGATTAATGCGTTTTGCGTTTTGTTCTCGTATTGTCTGAAAGTGCTACGTACTTTTACTGTTTCTTTTTTTAACTCTAAGCTACATAGTTCGTGTTCCTTTATACCCATTTTGTATCGATCAATTTTTGTTTATCATTCTGTATGTGAATGAAATGGAAATGTTACGAGTATAACCAAAGTTTTTGATGGTGAGTAGAAACAATTGGATAGTTAAGATTAGAGCATATAACTAGTGCATACATTTACCATATATAATATATAATATATATGTATGTATATATTTTATATAGTATAAAGATGTATATATGTATATACCACTTAGAGAATTACTCATCTTTGCTTCTATATGCTATCAATATGTATGTGGAATTCTGTACTGCAATCGCAGTTAACGGTTAACAGTTAACAGCTAACGGCTCTGCTAGTTAACAGCGCTCAGTTTACAGCAGCTGTGCGATAACCGGTTCGATTAGGCACATGTGCTCCGCTCCACGCACCGGCAACCGATTCAGGCAGAAGTGTCGGATCATATCGGGCACCGTCTCGAAAGGTCGGCTAAATTGACCTAAGATATATTGGCCGGCCTCGTTGCGCTGAATCCTCATGTGCATAAATCCCTTAGCACCCCTGAATAGGAAAGAGAGGAATAGAAGACTTAGTATATAGATAAGATAAGAATAGAATATATCGTGTCATACTTCAGCGATAGGGAGTAATCCTGTTTGGTGGACTCGCAATTGCGCACTAGAAATGATCCCTCCGACAGAGGACGCAGCGTTGTCTCCGCCTCAATGCGTGTGATGGCGCCGTGGTACCAGCTACGGAGTATTAAATAGAGAGAAAACATGTTAAAGAGAGAGAAAACAAGGCGGGTGTCAGAATATGTACTACTCACCCCTGTCGCTCTAGTGGTATGGTCACATCGATGAGATCGACCGCTGTGACGTAGCCCTGGCCCAGATTCATATTAAGCTCCTTGTGGCTGCTCAGACCGCGCAGATCGAGGCTGCCAAACTGTTTGCTCACCTGACGAGGCTCGTTGAGATTCAGTGTCAGATTCTGGCGGAAAAGCGCAGTGTCTGCAATAAGAAAATTAAATTGTTATTATTAATTATATAAATGCTGTAGAAAAGACGATATTTACAGTATTGTTAGTAAGTAATGTAATTACTTAACTGTAATTACTTCGAGTAGTTATTTAATTTGAATAAGTATTTGGTTGGTAAGCAACTTACCCAGTTTGCTGGCCAGCTTTTGCTCGTCGCGCATGGAATGGCTCGAGGATGCTTGTGAAATACCGCTAGACTCGGTGCTGTGCATCATTAGATTGTTAATCTCCGCCTGATTGGCACGCAAGCGCCGCCGCAACTTGGGCATGTCGAATGGCAAGTCGCCGAGATCAACGGAGGTGGCACTACCCGATGTACAGGCGGATGCCTCCTGTTGCAACGTCTTGCGGCGTCGTAACTTTGGCATATCAAACGGCAAATCGCGCAACTCCTGCGGCAGAGCCGACGATGAGGATGCCGCGCCGGCTGCACCGCCAGCTGCACCCGATGACGATGTATCTGCGGTACTGCCGCCACCCTGCAGCTGCAGCTTGGGCAACGTTAAACGTTGCAACGCCAAATGCGGCACTTTCCCATCCTCGCGTGAATGCAACGAAATACCGCTATCCGAGCCGAGCAGCTCGTCGGCCAAATGAAGCAGTGCTTTGTTGGGTGCAGCAGCAGTCCGTTGACTTCCGCGTGACTTGATCAGCAGCTGCACGGGAGCAGCCGTAACAGTGGCAGCTAGTGCTGCATCCGCTGCCTGCTCCTGTGAGCCTGCCGCTGGGTTTGCTGTTAATGCTGAATTGGCTGCTGCTGCCGGTTGCTGTGACTGCTCGGAACTGGCGCTGGCTGAGGCCGGCTCCTGCGAGGACTTGTCCGATATGGGGCTTAGGATGTGCAACTTGGAGTGCAGCAAAACGGGTGCACGTAGCGGATAGGCAACACTAGAGCTGACACTGCCACTGCCACTGCCACTGTTGTTGCTGTTACTCTCGGAGCTGTGGGAGCTCAGTGAGCTGGAGTGTCGCGACTCGGAGCTGGAGGTGCTGCGATTGCCCTCACTGGTGCTGGATCGCAGCGATTCCATGCTGCCGCCACTCGACGAGGTCGCAATGCTCTCTGTGGAGCTGTAATTGTGCCGCCTTGCGCCCGGCTGCAGTTGTTGTTGTTGCTGCTGCTGATGCTGCTGTTGTTGTTGATGCTGTTGATGCTGTGAGTGCGTGTGTCGGCTGCTGTGATGATGATGTCGCTGCTGGTGCTGATGCGGTTGAGCGCTGCGACGCAGCTCCAAAACGCGACCCGATTCCAAGACAAAGCTTCGTGGTCGACGTGCAACAACAACAGTTGCTGCTGCCACTGCTGCTGATCCGGATGCCGAGGCTGAGGCCGAGGCTGAGACAGAAGCGGAAACGGACGCTGCTGCTGAATTGGAATTGGTTGAGGGCGGATTAACGTAGGCGCTGTCGGTGAGACTGTTGTCATTGCTGCTGGCGCACAGCTGCAATTGTTGCTGCTGCCGTAGCGACGATTGCTGCAGCGGCAAACGCAAGTCGCGCAAACGCGGATGCGACGGTTGTGCCGCCGGCAAATTTGGTGCACTTTTAATGCTGTTCATGTAGCGTTCATGTTTACCCGGAAATTTGATCGGTAGCGGTGCGGTGGAGGGTGGCGAAGGGGTGTAACCGCGTGCGGGCAACTGTTGCTGCTGCTGCTGCTGCTGATGCTGCTGCTGTTGTTGTTGAGTTGAATTCTGGTTCTGATTCTGCTGATCTGTTTGACTGATCTGCAGCTGACTAAGCTCCGCTTGAACCTGCAGCACAACCTGACCAGGACCATCGGGTGATTGTTGCTGTTGCTGCTGCTGCAGCTGCAGCTGTTGTTGCTTTGGTTGCTGCAACAGTTGCTCCTGCAGTGCTTGATTCTTGCTATTCTTGGCGCGCTTGCATTCAAGTCGCGATTTACTGGACGGCGGCGGTGGCGGCGGCGGTGGCAGCAACAGATCGTTGCCATTGCTGCTCAGTTGCAGCAACACGCAATGATTGGTTATGCGATCGACCTCATCGAGATCATCATCCGATTTGGCAATCTTGCAATCAAAGGCCGTCTCATAGATCTGACGACGTCGACTGGCCATGTTGTCGGAATCCGAGTCCCCCAGTTGCTCTCCCTCTCCCTCTTCCTCCTCCTCCTCCTCCTCTTCCTCCTGCTGGACTAACTCTTCTTTCAGCGGATGCTCCTGCTGCTCGACGACTTCTCCGGCTCTCGTCTCTAGCAACTGTGTCTTTGTCTTTGTCTTTGCTTGGTTAGGTGGCGCACATTCGACGCACTCGTGGACGCCATGCGGATGCACATAGAAAATGCTGCGTGGCCGAAAATATTCCTCAATCTCGTCAAGCTCATTATCATCATGGCCCAGATTCAGTTGACTGCTGGGCGCTGCTGGTATGCAGGCTCCGCACACGGCTGCTGGGCCCAGCAGTCGGTGCGGCGGCATCGACCCGCCAAAATCGCAGGCACCGAATTCGTTTCCAGTACCCAAACCCAATGGAGGTGGACAACACTTGAGCAGTTCACCTTCACCGGCGTCACAGTGTTGCAGTTGCAGCTGCAGTTCCCCACTGCTATTGGGCAAATGTTGTCTTGGCTGAACGTTGCACGTTTTACGGACTAAAGCCAAGGCACGAGCATGCCACTCGCGTCGCTTGAGGCACTCGCTGCAATCGGACTCCTCGGATGTGCTCGTGCTCGGTGTCTCGCACCGAATGATGCGCACACCCTCCTCAGTGAAGCTATAACGCTTTGGGGTGGACTGTTCGGTTAGACAGGCCTCCTCTAGGTCATCGAGTGGCTCGCCGTCAAGTGGATCGCCGTCGTTGAGTGGTAGTGCAATAAGTGCCAACTCATCGACGTTGTTATCCTCCTCCTGATCGCGCTGTGGCGCATCCAAGCTGCTGCTCTTCCGATACCCCCCACCCAGATGGGGTTGTGTCTGCTGGGGTGGCTCACTGGCCGTCGATTGGCGGCACTTTTGTTTCGTTTCACGATCGAGCGTTTGTTTGTCCTTGTCCTTATCCTTATCTTTATCCTGCTCCTTATCCTTGTCGTCTGGCTTGTCGCGACTCTTGAGTAGATCCGAGTAGTAGTATGGCGATGGCTGCCTCTTGCTGTACTCAGATGGTGCAACGGTTAATTTGCGTGGACTACGCTGCAGTTGCGGTGGAAGCGGTCGCACCAGATCATCCGTTATGCTATCCGGTGAGTTGAGTAAACCACCAGGCGCCGCTCCAGCTCCAACTACACCTCCTGCTACAGTTCCAGCTGTTGCTATTGTTGGGTGTGGTGGTGGTGGTGGCGCACGCTCTACTTCCTCGTCAATATCTGCCTCCTCGTCAGAGGATTTGGGCGCCGATGAATCTGTAATTGTAAGTTCATATTTATATTTAGCGACTCTTTAACTATTAAAAATTATTTTAAAAAATAAAGAGAAATTTAACCAAATACAAACTTATACTTTCAACATTTTCAACAATTATATTTGGTGTTAAGTTTGGCTGGGGACCGATCCGTAAATATTACTCTCTAAATAGATATCAATCTTGCAGCTTTCTTTAATTGCTGTTGAACCTTTGCATAATACTATTGGTTGGCAGCAAATGTTAAAGTAATTAGATAAGTTATTACACTAAAAATACAATGCTGTCCAAGATCGCTGACTAGGGACGATGTACAATGTGAAATTGCTGTCCAAACTGTCAACAACTATTTAACTTCATAGAAGACTCGTACTTTTTGCTTCTAATTACGAAGGAATTAGAAGAAAGGGCTTGATACTAAGTATTCCGCAACGAACTGCAACTGCTGTCAGTAGTTGACGGTAATTTTACATTGCCCCGAAGCAGAAGTTAATTAAATCGCGAGTTGCAAGTTGCAAGTTGGGGGGATGCGGGTGGCGGGTTGCGGGTTGCGAGATAAGTAAGCCAATGGACAGACAGTCTATTTGTTAGTTAGGAGGCATCGCAGCTGTTATCCTTTGGAATATATTGTGGCGAGTCTCTGTCGCAGTCTATTAGGCGCTTGGCTGCCCGGCAGATGTGCCTCCTCCTCTTACATTACACTTCTCTCTCTCTCTCTCTCTCTAGAGTTGAGACCCAGTCCAATGGCTGCCAGTTGCCATTTAACGCCTGGCTGATCCCAGCAGCCGCAGTTCGACTCGGAGTTGGAGTTGTGCGCCAAGTGCGTCTAATTGCCACTGATTCACAATGTTTATGCACAACCCCCACCTACCACCTACCAACCCCCTGACTCTCATTCAGTAGTCAAAAACGAATTCGCACTCTGATTGAATAGCTGCGAAGAGTTGCTGCGAAAGTTGCTCTTACGAAACTGTGATTTTTAATGCGCCACCTGGCCATGATTATGGTCTTTGCCTCTATTTATAACTATTACCAACCAGAGTTGCAGCAAGTTGTTGTATTGTTATTACATAATACTTTTTATGCAGCTAGAAAGCTGACAAATTGCCAAGCACATAATAATTGTATTTAGTTTTCAGACTTTTAATTGCATAAACTATCTTTTTGGGTATAAGTATGCAATGCTTTTGAACTTCATAATTTGCAGCTTTTATAATTCGAGTTGTGCGGCTAGTTTGGCTGGCTTCAGTGTTATCATCCCCCTAAAATCAGGCAACATGCTGCCAACTGCTGTTGTTGTTGTTGTTGTTAGTCTCACCTGAATTGTAATGGCTGCTGTTGCGCTTGTCTCTTTTGTGGTTAACGTTATTGTTATTATATGTGGAGTGGCGATGTTGCAACTGATGCTGCTGCTGCTGCTGCTGTTGTTGCTGCAGCTGCTGCTGATGTCCGCGTGGTGTTGGCAACGTTTGTAACTGTTGATGTTGTCGCGGTTGCTGGTGTTGCTGTTGCTGTTGCTGCTGTCGCTGTTTGTGTGTTGGCGCTGAGCGTCGCTTGACCTTCTTGTGATAGACCTTCTTGGCCTGATGACGCGTATCCTTGGGATCGGAGTAACCTTCGATGAGCTTGACGGATGCCTGCTTGATGTTGCTGTTGGGCAGCGGTGGATGTTGCAATGTCGCGCGTTGCTGTTGCTGCGGCTGTTGCTGTGGCCCCGCTGGCAATGTGTTGTTGTTGTGCGCGTGCAGCTGCTGCTGTTGATGTTGGCTGTTGTTGCAGTTGTTGTTGTTACCGTTGCCGTTATTGTTGTTATTATTGTTGCTGCCCAAAATAGCTGCTGCTGCTGCTGCTACTGCTGCACTTGCTGGTTGACTGGGCAATGTCGACAAAGGGGCGGGTGGCGGCGGCGCTGCTGCTGTCGATTGCTGCTGCTGTTGTTGCTGCTGTTGCTGTGACGCTTGTTGGGCTTCGTTAAATGGCAGCTGTGAATGGCAAACAAAAAAAGAAGGGAAAAGCCAAACGAATGAGATAACAAGTTTGTATTACACTTTCAGCGGGTAATATACTTTTGTCGTTCAGTGTGAAACGCATTTGAGATCTCCCCAAAAAGAATACAGAATCAATATATTAAAACACAAGCCTGATTGGCTTGTAAAATTCACAAAATATGTTTTTGATTCATGTACAAATCGTATAAAATATCTTACAGCATGAATATAGATAAGAAAGAAAAAAAATTGTTAATTTCTCGATATATTCACACTCTTACTTTAAGTTGGAAATAATTGTGGGAAGATGAAACCAAGATAGTAACTCAAGAGTTACGTGTGTTGTTATCTGCAAGGGTATTTCGAAATTCGGTGTGCCGCAATTGGCAATCGTGCAATGTTGCTGCGACTAATTCGATTTGCATTGCAATTTCAATTTGTCTAAGCATTTAATTGAAAATTGTGCGTGCGTCATGTGGTCGCAAAATGCTGACTGTCACTGTGAGCGACACAATGTGTGTGTGTGTGTGTATGTGTGTGTGTGTGAGTGACGGTGCCAACTCATTAGGCGCTTTTAGGTTTTCCTCAACCACAAACCAAAAATAAAACACTCACACACAGGAAGAGCCCGAGTAAAGGTCCATTAATTAGTTTCACAAACATAAAATGACCGCAGCTTTTTTTACGTTTTTTTTTAAAATTGTAATTTCCCATTTTATTCTAAAAATATGAATTACTTTTTGAATTTCCAAATGGCTGTGAAAGTGTTATGAAGCGATTAGTCATAAGATTATCAAGCAGATAGACCAAACTTCGAGTGGGAACTCATTAAGCCACATTCAGGTTCAACAACCTGCGGCACTAACTTCTCGTCTGTTTGTTACTAGAATTGAACGTTTCATTAAAAGCCTTTATCGGTTGTGGACATTTCAATTTTGGCTTGCTTTTCACACACGAACACACAAACAGAGCCACACACAGAGAGCCACAGAGCCATGCACAATGTAAGAGCTTCATCAATATTCACTAACTATCAATTTTTCTGTCCATCTATCAATCTGACAAGGCACAGGAAACATGTTTCATCGTTGAGTTGTGCTCAACCCTCTGTCTTCCATCTCGCAGCTTAGTTAAGTGCAGCTAAGCTGTCCATCTTCTGGTTGAGTGTTCTTCTAGATAGGACAGCGTCCGGCAGACGATGACAAATAGCTGCACAAAACAAAACTGCAACAGCAGGTCGCACAACACAGCAACAACACAGCAACAACAAGAGCAACAACAACAAATGACATTAACGTGTCCCTAATGTGCACACATTATAAGCAACAGCAGCAGCAACAGCAACAGCAGCAACAGACCAGGCTGTTTATATTGTATTGGGTGTAGAGGGGTACTGAAGAGGGGAAAGGGGGTCGTAAATATGCGCATTATTGTTAAACATAAATTTGCGTTACATCTAACGAGTGGAAGGGGAAAAGAGGGATGACTCTAGGAGGGGCATATTGTATGCGAAATTTGATGCCAAAACAACAACAACAACAACAACAACAGCAACAGCAACAAGGGCCAGCCAAGGGGAAGTCGAAGTGGGAGTAGGGGCTGGGGACTGGTGGTTGGGGATTGCTGGTTGGGGATTGTTACACTAAGCAATGCTCGCCATTGTTTGCCGGACTTGCAATTGAAAGGAATTTTTAATTGAAACTCATAAATTAAACGTCGACTGCTGCTCATCGATGAATAGAAATTTACAAAACACACTGAGAGAAAAAAGCTTGAGTTAAGCTCAGTAAAGTACCGTATTGTTAGTGAAAAACTTCTAAATAAGTACAAAACTCGTTTTGAATTAAATAACAATTTCTTTGTCTCAGCACCGAGTTGTTTGGCCGTGCTTTTAATGAGTTGGAAATGGGAAATTGGAAACTGGAAACTAATACAATACAAAATAAAGAACACATTAAAGTGAAGTCAGTTGCAGTTGCTCTTCCCAGCAGTGGCATTGTTTGAATTTATGCAGGTTGCTCAGGTTGCCCGGGTTTGCTGCTAACTCAACTGCTGACTCTCATAAATTCAAGACAATAGACCATATAGCAATTCTAATGCAAGCAAATAAAGGCACACACACACACACACACACATACACACACACACACATTCAATAAGTGGCACATTAATAAAGGGGGTGGATCTTGGTGGTGTGCAACTGTTTTGCATTTAGAGATGGTCAAATGGAACATTAAACAAATCAGCAGATTGTGGATCTTTTTTGATGACTAATATTTGATGTCTTATCTTAAAAAATATTGTTTATCTTGTTACTTTCCCCAATCAATTACCATAAGTTGAAATTGACTTTTTTTTTATCAAAGCTGAGCTCTCAAAAGCCATCTACAAAGTCTAACTCCAAGTAAATATTGCCAAATTGTTGCTGCTCCCTTTTAAATAATATTTGCATAAATAGGCAGATTATTAGGATTCAGTAATTGATTTACGTTTACATTTATTGTGATATATTCAGCACGCTGTCATCTCTAGTTTGGTCTGGGCATCTGGGCATCTGGGCATCTGGGGAGTCTTGTCGTCGTTGAATTGAAATCTTACTCACATGTTGTGCACACAGACACATATTGTTCTTTAAATATTTGCCCTTGATTATCGGCATACAGGGATTTCATACACGACTCGATTGGGAGCCGCCCCACGCCTACCCCACAAAATGTGTCTTCCAATCAATGTGGGGAAAGTGGAAATTTGTGTGGAGTGTGGGTAAATGGGTGGCTCAGGCAGACAGACATGCTACAATCAAAATGGTTAGACGAATGTCTATCGTTCGATGTGATTGTTGTTGTTGTTGCCAGAGCAACGTGATTTTTATGCGCACGTTAATGAAAACATTTCCAGATGATGATGACGATAATGTTGCATGATTATAATGATGATAGCGATGATGATGTTGGTTGTGGAAATGAGTCGTGAGCAGCGCGGAAAACTAACTAGTTCGCTTGCTTTGCCGTTTTATCTTTTCTCTTTTTTCTTTTTTCTATTTTCTTTTTCTTTCTTTTTTTTTTGTTAGAGTCCTATCCAAACGTGGTCTGTTTTATGCTTTTCCAACATGCAATGATTCCCACTCATTCCTTGTCTTTTTCCTCTTTCTCTCTCTCTCTCTCTCTCTGTCAGTCTCTCTCTCTCTCTCTCTATTTGTCTGATTCTTCATGTCTGCCAAGTGCGTGTGACGAGTGTTTTAATATGCTTGCCGTTGGGTATCATAACTTCAGTGTTGCAAAACAACACAAAAGAAACAAACTGAATCCGCATAGTCCCACAAGAAGCGCAACTATTCAAAGTTTAGCTGAAATGTGAACCCTGACAACGGACTGGGAGTAAAAGGGATTCGGGATGAAGCTATGCAAATGAATGAATGATTGTATTGTAAATTCCTTCAAGTTTAAGCATAAAAGTGACAAGCACTAAATAATGCACTGATACCACAAATATAAATATAAAACGATATAAAATGAAGAATATTTAATGTTTTTTTAGGAAATAAAGCGGATTTTCTTCAACTTATTACCACTTTTGCCTATACATACATAACTTATTTGTATAGTCATTGAAATTAGTTTCTAGAATAAAAACATGGAATTTTTCTTTATTAACAAATTGAAATGTTAATTATTCAATTCTGGATTCGAAATGTTTGCACGTTTCTAATTTTGTTATCAAGAAGAGTATTCACAATTCGATTGCTGTTTCTTTTGTTTTGTTTTATTTTGTCATTTTCCTAAGTTTGCAAGCTGCACAAAGCGGCGTATGAGTAATGTGTGATGTTCTGTTAGTTGTCGACTGTTGTAAGTCAGAAGAGCAACAACAATAGCATAAACAGCCACAGCCCAGTTATTGAAATAAACAAAAAGGCAAAGCACACACAATACACACACACACACACACACACACACACACACACACAACACACATGTGGCTTTTGTACTGATGCTGCTGAGTTATCGCTGATATTACTCCGCGGAGAGTAATACACAACAAGAGCTGAACAGCAACAGCAGCAGCAGCAGCAGCAGCGTCGCTAAACTGGCGACAACGCAACTCTCACCAAGTGCACTTCACCAAGTGCAGCACCAGACGAGTGAGGAGGTTGCGGGGCGAGTAAGGAGGCGGGTGGGGGGATGGTTGGGGGTGTAGAGTGTTGTGTTCGTTTTCATATCGAAAAATGTCGCGCGCATTTCCCATTAAAACATGAGCCGTTGCCACAAGAATGAAAAAAGAACAACAGCACAGACAGCATTTATATGGCACACACACACACACACGCACACACACACACAATATCTCACACACACCCATACACACACACACAGACACGTATGCATAGCCTGCAGCTTTTATATGTGGACACGCGTCGCGGCTGTTTACGCAAAACAAAAGTCATAAGATAAAATTACATTAATAACTGTGAAGCTAAAAACAAAAAAAAAGAACAGAAAAAAAGCACATCGCACGTGGAGAGATAAAAAGAGATGTGGAGAGAGAGAGGGAGAGAGTGAATGGGAGTTTAGAGAGCAGATTCACATGCGGAGATGGGCAGGAGGCCAGATTCACATGCGGAGATGGGCAGGAGGTCAGATTGACTTGCGGAGATGGGCAGGCGAGCAGGCTGGGGAACAGGACATGCGGAATACTAAAGCTAAAGCTGAAGCTGAAGCTGAAGCTGAAGCTGAAGAGGCCCTAAACGTTGACGCTTTGGGCTATTGGCAGCTTAAGCGAACGAGGAGGGGGTGCAGCAGGGGAAGAAGGCTACTAAAATCGGGAGGCGCACACAGTGGGCGAGGTTGGCCAAATAAAAAAAAAAACAACAACCTTAAGCTGAGATTTGTGCGCTCAAAAAACTTGTTATTGGGAAGTACAAAGCTGATTGGCTAAAGTGGAATTTGTATATTTACCCAAAACTAGCGATTACAATATTTGTGGTAAAAATAAATAATAAATTTAATTTCAAAACAGAAGTAGATGTAAATATTTTAATACACAACAATTTATACGTGTAAACACATTTTATATCTAAAGCAGTAACAAACTTTGTGGCAAACTGCTTGGATTAGCTCCACAACTAAAGTGGATGGATTCAAATGCATCTCTGTCAAAAATTTGAACATGAAAAGCTTTTAGATTTCAAAATAATCCATTCGAATCCATAACTTTGTCACAACTAGGCCAATTTTGAGAGCAGACAAGTAGGCAGCCAGTGCCAGGCAACAAAGGAATCAGCGAGTGAGCAAGGAGCCAGTGCAACGTTTCAGTTTGTGACACATTGAGAAATTGGGAAATGATCAGCTCACAGCCCATAGCTAGATAGTTTTATGCACAATCATCTTAACTGTTGGCCATCAGCAAATAGTATTAGTCAATATTGCCAATATTTCAGTTCGGAAATCTGCTCACATCAATGAAAACATTTACGGCGCAATTTCGAGCAACATTCACAACACACACAAGCACACTCACAAACACACAAACACTCACACTCACACTCGTACTCACACTCACACTCACACATTGTGGATATTCATTGGGGCTGCTTGCGGCTAAACAAATTTCAATAAAAAGAAATTCAAGTGGCAGGCAGGCATTTTTTATGCGCCTCCATGTGGCGCTTTCGCTTTCGCTTTCACTTTACGACCAATATGCAAAAGGACAGCAACAATGCGAACACAAAACAATACACGGACTAAAATATATATTTCGTATGGGGCCATAAAAACTGAAATTCCGAACTCCGACCCAAAACAGCAAAAAAAAAAAAGTTTATCTTTTTTCTACGGAGACTCTCGAGATAACGCGCCGAGATTTTCGTCGGAGGCATGGTGAGCGAGCGAGCGAAGGAGCGAGGAGAGTAGTTGGAGGGAAGAGATGAAGCATCGCCATTTGATTTGTGGCAACATTTGCTGCAGGCTCCGCACTTGCTGCTCTCGTATTTTCTGTTTTTTTTTCTTTCTCCATAACGCTTAGTATCTGTGGCGCTTTCAGGCTTTTTTTTATGGCTGACCACCCGCTGGGCAACGCAGATTGCCGATGGGTTCTGGGTTGGGTATTCTCTTCTCATCTGTTTTTTTTTGTTTTTTTTTTTTGCAATATTTAGCCAATAGAGTTTTGCATTGTTTGAGCGGCGCTTTGTTTGGCCCCGGTTAAATAATCAAAAGGCTGGCAATAATGCGGGCGAAAATGGGGGAAAAAATGGGAAAATGCTATTCAATGGTTTTCATTAAGCGCATTGCTGATGCGACTGACGTCGTCGGTCGTCGGTCGTCGGTCATCGTTCATTGGTCTCGTCGGTCGTCGGTTGTCCTTATCGTCATTGTCGTTGCCATTGCCGTTGCCGTTGCCGTTGCCGTTGCCGTTGCCGTTGCCGTTGCCGGTGCGTGCAGTTTATCAATTAGCTGCCCAAGGGCAGTTAATTGCTTTCTACCAATACAAAATCCAGCCACAATCCTACGGCCCCTCCACTTCAACACCCACCCACCCATTCGACCACCATTCGACTGTCTGTTAAGGCTATTGGGTTGATATTCACGGTGCATGCACTTCAGGCTTTAATCGTGCAAGCTGCGAACATGCAAAATGCTCAAAAGGAAGTTGAGAGACAGATTCATTTAGAGTACACTAAAGGCTTAATTTGGTTATGTTTTTAAGGGTTATGCGGATGATGATTTTGTTGAATGCTGTCTGATGTCACTGATGGCACTTTGAATGCGGTTCACGAACCGGTTCGTGATGTGCTTTTAAGTTAAGCACTTTGCTAAGACCGGTGCTATCACATAAAGCATGGTTAATAGTTATGTTGTTAGTTGTACTTACAAATTCAGTTTGTGGACTGGGCGCTATCCAATGCTCCGGATTTGTTGGTATTGCCTCGGCCAGGCAGGGATCGAAACTGGACGGTCGTTTCTTAACAAAGTCTACAGGCAGGCTGTAATCATCACAGATGGCAATCTGCAAGCAAAAAAACAGAGAGACAGAGAGAGTGTGTGTTAGAACTAGAGTGAAATAGAGATATGTAAATACAAAATACAAAACAAATAAAATGATGTGAGAGCCTTCACGCAATTTGTATGCTAAAAATAAACATTTTCAAGTTGAGCAAGAGGCAACAAGAAACAAGAAGTGGATGAAGAAGAATGAATACGACACATGCAAATGCGTCAAGACCACAGCTGTGCCCCTTTCTACACCGACACCGACACCGACACCGCCACATCTAGCGAGAGAGTGGAAAGCATTGCATACACTCAGGAGCAGCACTGGCTGCGTCATCAAAAAGTGCTGAGAAGAACACAATGGCTAAATTACAGTTACAATTAAAAATGGCGACGCCGCCTTTGGAGACGCCTCGAGAATCTTTTCTCGTCAAGTGCACCAGTCGAGCGACCAGGTTGGTAAGAGAATTCCCCAATGTGTACAATACACAGCAACAATAACAGCAACAAAAAGTCACGAGATTTGCAATTAACGTTAAGTGGATGGCAACTGTGAAATTAAAGCCAAAAGGATGTTGAAAGAGTTGAACAAGCAACAAGCAACTAGCAACATGGAGAGGACCTCCTAAAAATTATGATAATCTGCTGTACTGATGCATGATGATGATGATGATGATGATGATGATGATGATGATGATGATGATGATGATGATGATGATGATGATGATGATGATGATGATGATGGACTATCTAATCAGTAGTCAGTTATACAAATGCAAACAAATTCTACATTCTACATACATCTATCAATATTTTGAGGGCCACCGTTGCATGGCAATTGAGTGGAAGGACGAGTGATGAAGGAAATGACAGGGTTTCGCTAGTTAGACTTAAAGCCAGCTACCTCAAAGTACAATTGCAGGCGATAAAGTTGACGACAATTGTGGCAATACCATTCCACACCGGAGCCGGAGACCAAGCCGGGGCTCGAATTGAAGTTGCCAAGATTGTTGGTTGTTGTTGGCCGTAATTCACGAGCCAGTTCCCGTGGGAGCGCGGCACAGGTGGCGTGATAGCGCCAGGCACAAGGACCTGAGCACACCACATAATCCTCGCCAGCGGTAAAATCAATCCAGCAGCGACGACAGAACATGCTGCTAATAATTTTCTCTTTTTTTTTCGAGAGAGAGAGAACGTCTCGCAGGGTGAACAAACACTTAAGAAAATTACAAAAAATAAACGCGAAAGGAGTAAAGAAGCAAACAGGAGCAACAAACAGGAGCTCAGGTGTTGACAGGTGAACGGGCAGCGCGGCACTGACTTCAATATAAGAAGCACAAGACACTGTGAGTGGTTTCCAACTATCGGCAAAAGTTTTCTACACTTTTGCATCTGTGGCAGCTGCGGCAAATGTGGGGGCAAGTGTGTTGCGATGCCTTGGGACATTGCTTTTGAAATTGAAAGGCCAATTTAAAGTGAATGAAGGCAGTTGGTTAGTGTGCATAATATCTGTCCTGGCAGTGGAAGCCAGTCTACAATCGTTGAGCGCCACATTACCAATGCAACAGTTCCTGAGCACACAAATAAACAGCGAACGAAGCAAAGGAGTGAAAGAGAAAAGAAGAGATAGAGCGAGCGAGAAGACTACTATGCTGATTTGAGAGATAAGCTGAGCGAGAAGATATAAGATAATGAAGATAATAGTTTCTTAAAGTGACCAAAAGGAGACATATTCTAAGCGCAAGGCAGCAATATAGATGATAGAGACATCAAATACCCTATCTTAGACTCATAGTTCCTCATTTATTAGTGAATAAACTTTACTCAGTCATCAGTATATCTAGAGAGAAAGAGAGACAGATAGTTAACACTAGTGATAAACATTTAATTAGCTCTAGCCTCATATTGTACTTGTTTTATTAGATTTTATTCTATATTTTCCAATTCAAGAGAAATCTAACACAAATAAGTCTTAAATGTATTCCGAAGAGAACATTTACCTTAAGCTGAAGACAATTCGACAAGCTCAGATTCAACAATAAAAACTAACCAAATCAATATTGATACACTTTTAATAATCGTTAAAAAATGTATCTTCATAAGTAGATCAAGTAAATAAATTTCAGTGTAAATAATTATTATCAAAATATTCTTTTTTAATAGCTTGTATAAATTGTATTTTTATTTAGAAGCCCACAGACACCAATTGGAGATTAGCAGCAGTTTTTCTTTTCGAATTCTGAAAATCACTGTGAGAAAAATGGCTCAATTTTTGGATTAGAAAGTAAAAGAAAAACAAACACATCGAGCGCTTTCTCCAATCATGGCTATGCCAATACCCACTTATTGGCCGGGCTAATAATAAGCAGCTGCTGTTGCTACTGCTGCTGCTAATGCTGCTGCTGCTGTTGCTACTGCTGCTGCTAATGCTGCTGCTGCCATTGCTGTGATTGCCAAGTTGTTGGCTTTGGTGTGCGGCCATAAAAAATGCATAACCAAAGCAGGCAGCCTTGGAGGTGCAGCTGCACCAACAACAACCAGCCGACACGTGTCCACACCCCCTACACACTTACACACTTACACACCATCAGAACACCAGCACCACCCACATGGCCGCTACAGGGGCACCTGCAGCTAAATAAAATGCCCAACTCGTTGGCCTCTCACTGTCTGCTCGAGTAAATATCATAAATTTTAAAGACGGCGTTAATGCGGCTCGTTTCAGTTGCATACTGAAAGTAGCCACACTTCCCCTATAACACCCTCCCTCACCCACAGCATCCTTCAGTTAGTTGCAGCCTTGATGGCAAAGCCAAAACAACACTGGCGCATAACCGCAGGCACTTTGGCAACGCGCCCAAGATAGGATCTCCGGCATCAGACAAAAGACACACAAAATGCAAACGTTGCAACGACTCTTCTCTCTCTCTCTCTCTCTCTCTTTATCTCTGTCTCTCTTTATCTCTGTCTGTCTTTGTGGCAAGAGGCTCTGTGGCCACATGTTGCCACATGGCACAGCGCTTTGACACAGTTTGCTTTTGGCCAGGTCTTCGGTGCCAGGAAATGAAAACTGGCTATGCCAACCACACGGTTTTCCTTTTGCCTGTCTCCATCCCTCTCCCTCTCTCTCTTTGGCATTTTATTTTGTGGCATATTGCGCTGATTGCAGCAAACTGACACCAGCTTACACATGTGTGTGTGTGTGTAAGCGAGCGCTGCATTGACAGTTGAATTGGAATTGAAGAATATCGCTTTTGTTTCACAGCTTAGCTTCTTACAATAGAGTCAGTCCTTCAGCTCTGCCAGTCAATCGAATGTTTAACCATTCATGTTTCAATACAATATTCGCAAGTTTTTGATTTTCTTTGTTCATCTGCCAACGCCAGATGAATCATCTAATACGCTCTCGAGTTCCCCACAAGTATAGCTTTAATTAATTTCCCAATTTAACTATCAATTGCATCCTATCAGCTGATAAATACTACAAAACGCTTAATTAATCAGCAACGAGGAACCTTAGGCAAGTTAGTTCGTTAGTTATTACGCTAAAAAAGCAAAAAAGTACTTCGATACTTGGCCCGCTGAGCGGGTTGACCCCGCCTGGTTATAATTGTTGTTACTGTTGCTGTTTTTGTAGTTGTTGTTGTTGGTGTTCTTGTTGTCAATGGCTGTCAAATTCTCAGGCACTAATTGCAATTAGCAGCAATCAAAATACACACACAAACACACACACAAACACACACACACACACACAGACACAGTTAACACCCATTGTTGTCGGCCCACTTTGGCGTTAGTTTGATTGACTGCTTGATTGATCGATTGTTTGACTGATTGATTAACTGAGCGAACGGCAGGCAGGCACTTTCAATTATCAACAACAATGGCGCCTAGCACCAGCGCCAACACCAGCACCAGCACCAGAGAAACAACAGTTGGCATCAACACGTCCATGGTTGGGTGTTAACTGTACCTGGGGAGGATTATGGGGCTGGTGATGCGAGGGGATGAGGGGATGAGGGGATGGCATGGGGCACTGCTTAATCACGTGCCCTTTAATGCTCAATTGATTTGTTTGCTATGTGGTGCGATTACAGGTAAATTTCCGACGTCAATTGCTTTATGAAATGTTTACTCAACTTATCCAGCTGCAAATGGAAACAAGGTAGCCAAGCACACTCTCTCTCTCTCTCTCTCACACACACACACGCTCTCTCTCACTCGGTCTCTCTCTCTCTCTACTCACTACCCCCTACATCTTTTCGCCAGTTTATACAACATTGCAACTTTTTAATGGCTCGCATGTGCATTGCATGGCTTGGAATGTGCAGAATATTTTTGTTATATTCTACAAAAATACCCTATAAACATGCGCCGTTGCATAAGGAGTGTGATACGCATATCTAATGGACGTTCAGTAAACATGTGAGCAAATTAAAGTTGCTTAGCAAGTAATATAATAATTTCGTAATGAAAATCTAAAAAACTGGAGACTTCAAAACAGTAGAAGCGTTCTTTCACTTATGCGCTCCCATATAATCTCAAGGATCTATAGACTCATAGTGGTTATAGCTGGCAAACTTGGTGAGATACATTTATAAATGAGAAGCAACCGATTAGTCAGTATTTTGTATGATTCCACATTAGATTTGTGATATAAGGGAACTGTTGACAGCAGCTTTCTCAAAATATCTTTGGCAGTTTACAGGGTATGTACCAGTTGAGCACGCAACGCCAATGCCCATTTATGGTTGTTTTCTGTTTGTTTGTTTGTTTTTTTTATGTAATTTGTTGTTGTACTTCAAGTGCAGGCCATTAAAAATGGCCGTCAATGAGACATTTGGGAGCATAAGCTTTCAAGTGGTGCATAGCGTGGCGTTGGGGGCGGCTGTAAGGGGGTGTGAAGGTGTAAGGGGTGGGCACAAAAGTCAGCGTTACGGTTCGAGTCCAGGGTGTAGATTTGGGAGTTTGAGAGTTGGCTCGCAATGTTGAAGGGTGTCATCGTTTGGCATTTGG